CTTCAATAAAATAGTGGCAAACCGATTGCAACAGCACATCAAAAAGCTTATCCACCATGATCAAGTAGGCTTCATTCCTGGGATGCAAGGCTGGTTCAACATACTCAAGTCTATAAACATAATCCACCACATAAACAGAATCAAAGACAAACACCACATGATTATCTCAATAGATGCAGAGAAGGCCTTCAATGAAATTTAACAGCCCTTTATGCTGGAAACTCTCAGTAAACTAGGTATTGAAGGAACATATCTCAAAACAATAAAAACTATTAACGACAAACCTACAGCCAATATCATACTGAGTGGGCAAAAACTGGAAGCATTCCCTTTGAAATCTGGCACTAGACAAGGATGCCCTCTGTCACCACTCCTATTCAATATAGTATTGGAAGTTCTAGCCAGAGCAATTATGTAAAATAAATAAATAAATGAATAAAATAAAGGGTATTCAATTAGGAAAAGAGGAAGTCAAATTACCTCTATTTGCAGATGACGTGATTGTATATTTAGAAGACCCTATCATCTCAGCCCAAAATCTCCTTAAACTGATAAGCAACTTCAGCAAAGTCTCAGGATACAAAATCAACGTGCGGAAATCACAAGCATTCCTATACACCAATAACAGACTAACAGAGAGCCAAATCAACAAACTCCCATTCCCAATTGCTACAAAGAGAATAAAATACCTAGGAGTACAACTAACAAAGGATGTAGAGGACCTCTGCAAGGAGAACTACAAACCGCTGCTCAACGAAATAAGAGAGGACACAAATAGAAGGAGAAACATTCCATGTTCATGGTTAGGAAGAATCAATATCATGAAAATGGCCATACTACCCAAAGTGATTTATAGATTCAACGCTATCCCCATCAAGCTACCAATGACCTTCTTCACAGAACTGGAAAAAACAACCTTAAACTTCATATGGAACCAAAAGAGAGCCCACATAGCCAAGACAATCCTAAACAAAAAGAACAAAGTCGGAGGCATCATGCTACCTGATTTGAAACTATACTACAAGGCTACAGTAATCAAAACAGCACGGTACTGGTACCAAAACAGAGATATAGACCAATGGGTCAGAACAGAAGCCCTGGAGGCAACGCCACACATCTACAACCATCTGATCTTTGACAAACCTCACAAAAACAAGCAATAGGGAAAGGATACCCTGTTTAATAAATGGTATTGGGAAAACTGGCTAGCCATGTACAGAAAGCAGAAACTGGACCCCTTCCTGACATCTTACAATAACATTAACTCCAGATGGATTAAAGGCTTAAACATAAGACCTAACACCATAAAAACCCTAGACGAAAACCTAGGCAAAACCATTCAGGACATAGGCATAGGCAAGGACTTCATGACTAATGCACCAAAAGCATTGGCAACAAAAGCCAAAATAGACAAATGGGACCTAATTAAATTCCAGAGCTTCTGTACAGCAAAAGAAATAATCATTAGAGTGAATCAGCAACCAACAGAATGGGAAAAAAATTTTGCAAAATACCCATCTGACAAAGGACTAATATCCAGAATCGACAATGAACTAAAACAGATTTACAAGAAACAAACAAAAAAACTCATCTAAAAATGGGCGAAGGCTATGAACAGACACTTTTCAAAAGAAGACATATAGGAGGCCAACAAACACATGAAAAAATGCTCATCATCACTGATTATTAGAGAAATGGAAATCAAAACCACATTAAGATACTACCTCACACCGATTTGAATGGCGATCATCAAAAACTCTGGAGACAAGAGATGCTACAGAGGATGTGGAGAAATAGGAACACTTTTACACTGTTGGTGGGAGTGTAAACTAGTTCAACCATTGTGGAAGACAGTGTGGTGCTTCCTCAAGGATCTAGACATAGAAATTCCATTTGACCCAGCAATCCCATTACTGGCTATATACCCAAAGGATTAAAAATCATTCAACTATAAAGACACATGCACATGTATGTTCGTAGCAGCACTGTTTACAATAGCAAAGACCTGGAGCCAACCCAAATGCTCATCAATGATAGACTGGGCAAGGAAAATGTGGCATATATACACCATGGAATACTATGCAGCCATAAAAAATGATGAGCTTGTGTCCTTTGTAAGGACATGGATGAATCTGGAAACCATAATTCTCAGCAAACTGACACAAGAACAGAAAATCAAATACCTCACGTTCTCACTCATGGGCAGGTGTTGAACAGTGAGAACACATGGACACAAGGAGGGGAACATCACACACTGGAGTCTGTTGTGGGGGCAAGGGAGGGACAGTGGGGGGTGGCGGTGGGGAGGTTGGGGAGGGATAACATGGGGAGAAATGGCAGATGTAGGTGACGGGGGGATGGAGGCAGCAAACCACATTGTCACGTGTGTACCTATGCAACAATCCTGTATGATCTGCACAAGTACCCCAGAACCTAAAGTATGATTAAAAAAGAGAAAAAGAAAAATGGTGGAAAGAGATATACCACACAAAAACGAATTAAAAGAAAGTAGCTGTGTCTGACAAAGTGGACTTTAAGGCAATAAGCATTGCTAAAGATAAAGAGGTGTCTCCTTAAAGATAAAAGCTTCCATTCACCAGGGAGATACAACAATTCTAAATTGGACTTGGGCGCAAATTTGAGCGTTCTCACTTATTAGTGTAAGACACATAGCTAATTTCTAAATCTTCTAAACCTCGGACTTCTCATGCATAAAGTGAGGATTATCATAGGGCTCACTAATAACATAGTTTCAAAAATATATCATGCCAAAATTGAGATCAAAATAATAAACATATATTACATGGGGGATCTTAATGTACTTCATATTAACAGATTAAGATGAGAGAAAAAGAGAGCAGTACGAATAGCAAGCATTTAATCAACAGGATCAATATATCTGTCCTCATGGATATATGCAGAATGCCAAACCTAGCAACTGCAGAAATCATGCCAAACATTTAGGTACAGACATTGTGGGAAAATGTAATAGTGAAATGAGCAGACCGACAATCAGAAGATGTTAATAAGAGCACTAATAATGGGGCTGGCAAACATGTCTTTACTGATTTCCAAAAGCTTCTTACAGTAAACATGAAATCACATAATTTCTTCCACTTCACTACTGTCTCTTGTTCTGGGCTGTGTCCTGCTTACTGTCCAGTACCTTAGCCCCTTAAAAGTTGCTAATCTTCCAAACCTCATTCCTGTGACTGGGCCCCTGGTCCTTGTTCATGGGCCTTGCAGATACTGACTGCATGCTTATCTGGAGCATGCAGTGGCTACTACTTGACCCAGATTTCTCGCTGTGCTCCTCCCACCTAATGGGATTTGCTCATACCTGTATGGGACCCCTCCCATCTTCCCCAACTGAATACTTACCAAGACAATACATTGCCACACTCCTTTGGACTCTGCTCTGGGCATCAGTCTGAATGTTTCTATTGGGCATCTGCAACTGGATCAGTTCCCTGAGCACCGTCCAGCCTCTTCAGCATGGCTAGTCCTAGAGCCTTTCTGTCTCTGCTGCTTTACATGCCTGGACAAATCTTATGATAATGCAGGCTGCAGGAGGCAGGAATCAAATTTTTGCTTATTATATAGTGCTCCAATTATTTAAATATTGGACTATAGAATATGTCACGAATCTATACTCAGGTGGGTTCCCTATTACTCAGTTCACTGAGGCCAGATCGTGGGATTAACTGTCGAAGAGAGAGTTTTAGTCTGCAGAGCATAGGTCATTCCGAGAATTGCTAGCCCACACTTGTGTGGAGACCTCCAGAGAACAGGATCTGGGCAGGAGGTGACACACCTGTCCTCAGGATGCCCAGCCCCACAGTCAGAGGGGAAGGGGCAGGGCCACATGCATGAAGATCCTCTCCCCAGTATGTGCCAATGACAGGGTTTTCTATCTTTTGGGCCAAGGAAGGAATGTGAAAGCAAAAAGCACAATTTTCTCCTCCCTTTGCATGAAGACTGAGCAGTTTTACCAGATTCCCAGGGAAACACCCTTTCACTCTGGGTTGAATGTGAGTGAGAGACATTCAGGGGTAGAACACTAGAAAAATTATTTTCTGAACCACTTGCCATTAGCCCTAGAAAGTGCTGGATTTGTCCTTCTTCCTTGTCACAGTAGAGACTGCTGAGAGCATCAGAACTTGGGCTCTGGAAGTAGATAGACTTGGTTACAAATCTGAGCTCTCTCCCTTATTAGTGTGGGACATAGAGAAACTTTAAAAATCCTTCCAAACCTCATACTTTTCATGCATGATGTGAGGATTGGAATAATGCTCACCTAATAGGGGTTCTTGAGAATTAAAAAAGTTAACAATGAACAGCATTCAGCAAGATACCTGACTATTGAGAAAATCAAAAATTGTTTGTTATTGATGTTGTGATTATTAAACATCCATTCTGCACCTTCTGACTGGGATATCATGCCATCAGAATGGGATAGATTCCTGCATGGGCTGGGCCAAGAGTGCAATAATGGAGGAGTGAAGAAGGAAGAAGTGGAGGCAGAAAGCCCCCAGGAGTCCAGTATGGTACAAGGCTGAGCTAATGCTGCAGGGGCTTCTTGGAAAAGCCTCTGGGCTTGCGCCTGGCCCTGGAGGAACCTCTTCCAGCAGGCGGGGCCAGCTATAAGAGTAGCCAGGAGATTTCCCAGGGTGTGGGCTCCTAGAAGTTCATTTGGACCAGGCCTGCGTAGAGAGGGATCATAACAGGGACCCTTCACTACTGGCAGGTGATTTACCCTTCAGTGAGGAGCTCAGGCATTTGTTTGATGGAAGGTGGAAGGCCCTATGCTGAGCCAGTGACTGTCAGGGATGGGTGGGTGGCTGGAAAATAGGAAATAAGACTATATGATAGCACAGTAACCACCACACTGTGTGGAACATTCTCTTGAGAGTTTTTCCTCTGTTAATACTCACTTCCTATGGCCCAAATAATAACAACAACAAAAAATTGGTGTAAATTCTTGAAATAACTTGTGGATGATGGAACAAGACCCCCCTCCCCCTACCACCAACTCAGAGCTGCCAGAAGCTTCAGGTGAGGGTCCAAAATGCCAAAATGTCCTGTATCAGAGAGGATGGCCAGTGACCTGAGGACACATGCCATATTTGCTGTGTCACCCAAGGAGCAGCAGCCTCAGCGCTGCACAGTCACCAGGACCCTGGCTTCCCACACTGGGTAGGAGCTGGGTGTCTGATAAAGGGCATGCTTGGCAGCCTGTGCTGTCTGTCTCCTCTTGTCAGCTTATCTGGCATTTCTGTCAAGTGGAATTTCTTTAAAGGTGGAATCTCAGTGGGGTCTAATCTGTTCAGAAATATCAAAAGAGTATGTTAAGCACAGAATTTATACATACATATTTATATATGTTACGTGTGTTATATGTATATTGGGCGGGGAGAAAGGCCTTTGGTTCCTTTGTATCTGCACAGCACAAGGAAAGGCACAGAGTGACTACGATTTACAGTTGATTTATTTACATGAAAGATATTCCCTTTTGCACTTTAGGCCATATATATGTGTATGTGTGTGTGTGTATATATATATATATCTTACATATAATAGTGTAAAAGTGGAAATAACTCAAATGTTTAAAATTGAGGATTAAACTATGATCTGTTCATATGTGACATACAAGTGAGCTGTCCCTTGTACAATGGAATACTGTATTGTATTTACAAGAGCTTCAACCTCCTACAAACAATGTCCCTTGTATACCAGTATTGGTACAGAGAATTGAACTTGTTGAGGTTTTATATGGGGCAATAAAGGCGAGAGCTTACTGTAAATACCCGATACTATGCTACATAGCACCCCCTTTTACAGACAAACTCTTCTCTTGCATTTCCCTTCCTTTCCAGAACCACTTGGTGCGATCTCTACAAGTCTATATTGCAACTACCTCAACATGGCACACTACCCCCAACTCCATCTTCCCCGTCCTGAGAGCAATGGTCAGCTGCCCCCACATTCACATCCTCATTCATTCCAGAAGTCAGCACCACAGAAGTGCCCACACATACCCCAACCACCTTCTTAGAAGATAAGTTAGTGGTTGCTTTGACTTTTAAAAATTTTTACTTCGTCTTTTCCTTCACAATCTCATCCCATCCCAAGAGGTTTATCCAGAAGTTCTCTAAAGATATGTGTGTCCTTATTAGGAATTTAACAGACAAATCAGGAATTTTTATTCTAGCCATCAAGGGAATAACATTTTACCAGGTCTTTAGACAAATAATGGAATACCTTGTAGTAATTAGATATACTACTGTAGAAAAATACTGATGAAATGGAACAATGTTTGAGATATCACATTGAGTAGAAAAGGCAAGATGCATTAAGTAGGAAATGTAGCTTACAAAATAATTTGTCAGACACATTCCTATATTTGTATGTTATAAATGTGTACGTGAAGAAAGGCTAGAAGATGAGACCACAGTCTTCAGTCAAGTTTAAGAGATGAGGCTGCAGCATGCTCAGAAAGGCCTGGGTTATAGTGTTATAGTTCTCCCAGCAATTAAGGATGTGATCCTGGGTAAATTGTGCATCCTCTCTAAACTGCACTGCCTTTTGTGTGTAAAACAGGAAGGATGGTATTTACTCCCAGGGTCATCAAAGGATTTGGTTGGAGAAGAAGAAAAATGGGCTGAGCCCAGACCTGGCACAGTGAGAGCACTGTGGTTAACTGTTGTGCTGGACTGTTGTTCCTGTGTTATTGACGTGCTGCTGGTGGTGGTCCAGAAGCTATTACTTTAATTGGTTATGTGGATTTTCCTTCATGCTGACTAGCTGTGTGTGACATTGTAAAACATAGCCATACACTGTAACCGGCAAAGGCAAATGCAAGGAAGTACAGGTAAATAGCTAATGGGCTGCAGAGGGAAGCTAGTCCTTGGAGGGCTTGATCAAGGAAGGTCCCTTTGCATGTCACTTGTGAAGAGGAGGGGACAGAGAATAGGTGTAGGGCAGCGTTAGTACATTGCAGAGTGTACCTGGAAGGAGACATGAAAGGAGGACATTTTTCTCTGGAACATGGGGACTCTATTTGCATAAACCCTGGGATTAGGGCAAAGAACCATCATGAGAACAAGGGCTTCCCTGAACCTCCCATGCTCATTGACTGACTAAGCTCTGCACTTCTTCTTTCCTTCACTCTTGTCTTTTTTCTATACCTCTGTTATTAGACTGGACTGGCAACCACCTGATCTATCCCAAGTGCCTTGAAATGTGTTGAATGGGTGTGGCACGCCCTTAGCAGAGTGGCATTACCCCACAGGAATTTGTTTATACCCTCGGCATGGAAAATAGCAGGAAATGAATGATGACTGATAACTGAGGATGCTATTTATTATTGTCTAATGGAATACTGTATTGTATTTAGAAGACACTCCCAATTTGTTGATTCTGAATGAGTACCAGACCTCTCCTTTAAATATGGGATCCTGAGAACTGAAGGCAAGTGGAGTTCCAGGAGTCCAAGACGGAGCCACCGACCACGAGGATCCCTGGCCCAGGTAGGTGATCCTCCTGTGCTGCCTTTCAAGGCCAACAGGCATGGATGGGGAAGTAGAGTAGTGTCTGGCCATTTAGCCCCCTTGCTTTTTATCCCCACTGGAAGCACATCTTAGTTTCTAAATATGATCTCTAAGACCTCCCCGGAATACCTTGCTCTCAGCCCCAGTAGCAGTCTTCTCTCTCCCAGGAGGGCTTCTACCAACAAGCAGGGCATTGCCAGGGGGCCAGGCAGACACTAGCTTAGGAAACCTGCAAATCCTGGAAATGCTTGTCCCTTCTCTGAAGGCTCAGTAGACTGACTTCAGAATCTAGAAAATATTGGTCCTTGGAAACAGATTTTGGGTGCAAAGAAATGGATTTCAGATGGCCAGACGCACTGCTTCTTTAGGGAGTTCTGTGAAAGCTCCCTGAATTTATCTTAATACAGGTGGCAGATTTCATGTGTACCCCCCAGGGATGGCTCCAGGTCCTCCAGCCTGAGTATCCTTCTGTCCTTCAGCAGCACCACAGTATCTTTCTGTCTTTGGATATCTACATTTCTGCAAGACATCTCTTGCTCTGATGTCCTGGCTGCCAAATTCTCTGTCAAGTGCCTCCAACTTTCTGTGTCCTTTGATTTACCCCAACATGACAGAGGCAGTTATGCTCCATGTATTCAGGGTTACTGCCAAACCACAAACAGGTCAAGACCAAATAGTTGATATCCCTGTCCTTAACGACCCGTCAGCTCCACCCACCTACTCCTGCTCACTGTTCTTACTGTTGAGTCCTGAAGCCCTTCCTTGTCATTTTTTTTTTTTTTTTGAGACAGAGTCTCACTCTGTTGCTAGGCGCCAAGCTGGAGTGCAGTGGCACAATCTTGGCTCACTGCAACCTCTGCCTCCCGAGTTCAAGCAATTCTCCTGCCTCAGCCTCCCGAGTAGCTGGGACTACAGGCACATGCCACCATGTCCAGCTAATTTTTGTATTTTCAGTAGAGATGGGGTTTCACCATGTTGGCCAGGATGGTCTCGATCTCTTGACCTTGTGATCCACCCGCCTCGGCCTCCCAAAGTGCTGGGATTACAGGCTTGAGCCACCGCGCCCGGCAGCAGCTTCTTAAAAATAGCATTTTTCCAGTCTCACCCTGGACTAATTGAATGAGAATCTCAGGGGTTCGAGGCGCAGGTATCCATGGTCTTAAAATGCCACCCACCAGGTGATTCCCAGTGTGCGCCAGGGTTGAGAGCCACCACCCTAGGCCATGCCACTCAGAAGTCCTCAGACCAACAGTACCCATAGCTCTGGGGTGCAACAGAAAGGCAGAGCCTTGGCACCACCCAGACCTACTGAACCATAGTTTGCAGGTGATTTCTTGCACATCAAAGTGTGGGAAATGGAAAGCCTTAGAGTTCAGCTGGCTCAGTAACTTTCAGTCAACCTGCATCTGCCCAATGAACTCAGAATGTCTGGGTGGGGCCCAGAAAAGCTCCTGAAGAGATTCTGATGTAATGCAGGGCTGAGACCCTTGGACCTCATCTGACCCCATATCACTGGGGAGTTACTTAGGGTCTCGCCTGGGGCCAGTCATCTCTTCCATAGGCACCGAGTGTCCATGATACTTGGGGCACTACAGGGCGGGAGGTGGAGGATCACAGGTGAGTCAGACAGGGAGCCTGCTCCTGGGGAGCTCACAGTGCTACGGGGAAGCAAGACAAAGACACCAATACCTGTGTGCAAGTACCACCGATGAGTGCAAAGTGCTGCAGCACCAGGGAGGAAGCCACCCTGTGCAGTGGGGGCCGAGGAGGGCTGCAGGGAAGAGGTGGCTGGAGGGCTGGTGTTACAGGAGGAGTCCTCTCCACTGTCTGGGCATGAGGAGACGAAGAGGTCATTCCACAGTGAGAAACCCAGGGAGCGGCTGTGTGCTTATGGCATGGGAGGAGAGTAACATCTTAGAATTATTGTCTGCATTAGAATTGCCTATCACAGATACCCATATTATAGCTTCACATAGTGTGGTGGTTACTGTGTTATCATATTGTGACATTTGCCATCTTCCAGCCACCCACCCATTCCTGACAGTCACTGGCCCAGCCTGGGGTCCCTTGTCCTTTATCAAACAAGTGCTTGAGCTCCTCGCTGAGGTGAGGGTCACCTGTCCAATCAGAGGCCAGGAGGGAAGGTTCCCTTTTAAGACCCCACTCTAGGCAGGTCTGGCCTGAATGAGTTGCTAGAAGCCCATACCCTAAGACTCTCTGAGCACTGTTGTGGCTAGTCCTGCCACTGGAAGATGTTCCTCCAGGGCCAGGTGCAAGATTTGTGGCTTTTCAAAGGAGCCGCTAATGCTCCAGCTAAGCCTTGCACCGATCTGGGCTCCTGGGGGCTTCCTGCCTCCACCTCTCCCAACTCTTCCATCACTACTCCCTTAGCCTGGCCAGTGTGGGTGTCTGTCCCATTCTAGGCACTGCTGATGGAATGATGCCCCCAGCCAGAGGGTGCATAAAAGAGAGTTAAGAAAAACAGTGATTATAAAATGTCCTTTTTATAGGTCTTAGGTCAGGCTAAGTCCTACTTACTTGAGTGAGCATTTTAGTTCTCGTAACTCCTCTCTCAAGTAGGTGCTGTTCTTACTCTCATTTCACAGGTGAGGACATTGGCATTGGGAGAGATTTAGTAACTTGTCCTCTGTCCTACAGCAGAGCTTGGATTTTAATCCATCTGTCCAAATCTGGAACCAATGTGCTTGCACAGAATGCTAAATTGCTCATCCCAGTAAGACAGCAAGCCTGGGAGTGGAAGAAATATTCAGTGACTGTGATGCCTGAGCCCACAGGCAGGGTGGAGAGCTGGGCCTGTGGCTGGGGCTGGGGCTGGGGCCCTCAGATGTGGGGAAGAAAGGGCTGAGTCTTCCATTTTCAATGTGAAGTGTTGATATCCGGTTTTGTTGATCTAGGTACAAAGTTGAAGAACTTAAACCCGAAGAAATTCAGCATTCATGACCAGGATCACAAAGTACTGGTCCTGGACTCTGGGAATCTCATAGCAGTTCCAGATAAAAGCTACATACGCCCAGGTGATTCTCAGTTTTGGCTGTGTTTTCTGTCCCCACCCAGCAGGGGTAAGGCCTACCTCCAGGTGGGCTCAGCTGATGCTAGACCATGCCCCAGCTCCAGCAGGTGGTAGAAGCGGGGAGGAAAGGCCCCAGAGACTTGGGCATCAGATGGAAGGTCTCTAGCAATGACCAGATCTGAAAGGACTCTTTCTGGAAGGGCAGGGAAAAAAGAAGGAGCCAGACGCTTAGGTTGGAACAAGAAGAGGCTTAAACCAGTGTGATGGAGGGAGATGTGGACCACAGAGTCAAGGGGAGAAGGACTGCATGTCAGGTCTGAAACGCAGCAGACAGGAGGGACCTTTCCTTCCCCTGAGAACCCACCCATGTTCTGATTGTCTTTTTCCAGAGATCTTCTTTATGTTACCCACATCCTTGAGCTCAGCCTCTGCAGAGAAAGGAAGTCCTGTTCTCTTGGGAGTCTCTAAAGGGGAGTTTTGTCTCTACTGTGACAAGGATAAAGGACAAAGTCGTCCATCCCTTCAGCTGAAGGTAAGAGTTCTAGCTCAATTTCCTGTGCCTTTTGCTACCCCAAAGTAAAAGGTCAAGATCCTCAATGCCTCTCACTTTCCTGCAAATTCTTATCTTGGCTAATATAACAGAGACATCCACCTTTCTGGAAGCACCAGGCAGAAGAGTCCCATACCTTCCCCTCTGGTTCCTTGCCTCTTCTAAGGAAGGAGGAAGGACTCCACACAGCAGGGAGGCAATGAGGAACTGAGAATCCTTTCTCCTCTCCCACGCTCATGGGCCCTGGCCCTGGATGGGTGGCACTCCCCTCCTGCTGTGGCCTTCCCTGTGGTAGGCAGCACACTTGGGCCAGGACCCTGGTGTCTGCTGCAGGGTAGGAGGGTGTGAGGGAGCACTCAGAGGGCAGTGTGTCTGCTCTTCAAATTTAGTCCTAGATGGAGCATCCTTTCACTTGAGGGGAGAAATCTTATGAAGCCCAGTTGGATGCAGATCTAAGCCATATTCTCTAACCTAACTTTAAAAACTATAGAACTGAGATTTCGGTGTCCATCTGACTCTTACATCTGTCTCAATTTATTTTTAATTTGGGGGACAAGAGGGCATAGAAAAGAAGGCATGAGATCTTATCATCCCTTAAATTCCAGTACCAAGGCTGACATGCTGTCTTCCCCAAGGACCATCTGCCTTCTCTCTTTTCCTCCTCTCCTGTGTAAAGGCCTGGAGGATAAGCACATGTGCTGGGTGTTTCTCCCTCTCAAAGCCTGTCTATATAATTAATCTCTTTTACCTTACAGAAGAAGAAACTGATGAAGCTGACTGATCAAAAGGAATCGGCACGCCGTCCCTTCATCTTTTATAGGACTCAGGTGGGCTCCCAGAACTTGCTGGAGTCAGTGGCTCACCCCGGATGGTTTGTTTGCACCTCCTGCAATTGTAATGAACCTGTTGGAGTAACAGATAAACATGAGCATAAGAAACACATTGAATTTTCATTTCATCCAGTTTGCAAACCTGAAATGAGCCCCAGTGAGGTCAGCGATTAGGAAACTACCCCATCGAATGCCTTCCTGGCTAATTGGCCTAATTATATAAAAACCGAAATCCTGCTCACTAACCTTTATATCAGTGTGTTTCATTTCTCATTCATACTTTAAGGATTTGTGTTTTTAGGAAATAGCAAGAAGATTGTTTAATTACAAAGTTCTGGGTAGGAAAGAGCCCAGCTTCTACCTGTACACTGCTACCCTGAACCATCAGACATCCATGTGCGTGTCATATGCCATGATATGGCCAGTCTGAGTGTGATACTTGCAAGAGGAAGGAGCATCTGGGTGCATGCTATGCTCTAGAATCAGTCCTTCCTACTGGGGTTTGGTAGATGCTGAGGGCATTGATCCTGGGGAAGAAGTGGCTGACTCCATGTTTAAGCATTATGTGCAAGAAAGAAATGCAACAGCCACCATCAAGCTAAGTGATAACAGAAAAGGGGCAGTTGGGTCCCAGATAAGGAGCAGTGTGACCTGGCCTGTGGAAAGGCACAAAGACAAGGAATCTGGGTCAGATGATAGGAGACCAGTCAGTCAGTGTCTGGGAGGGCTGTTAACAAGGAGACGGTCATATCACTAAGCAGGGCTCAGATCCTGATAATGGGGCATAGAAAGGCTGGCCAAATGGAAATCAGGGCCTGGAAACAGAGTGAGGGGGTGGAGACAGGGGACTGAGGCTTGGAAATTAGTTTGTTAGTTTTAGCTCTTCAGTTACAAGCAATAATAATAACTTCTAGCTTATTTAAGCAAAAAGTATACTAAAAAAGGAGTTTTCTAGAAGGGTCTTGGGAATATTTACTTCTTACTGCTGCTGTAACAAATTACCACCAACTTAGTGGTTTAAGCAATGCAATGTCTTATCTTGCAGTTATGGAGGTCAGTCTGGAATGTGTCTCACTGGGCCAATATCAAAGTATCAGCAGGACTGCGTTGCTTTGGGAGGCTCTAGGGAACAGTCAATTTCCTTGCCTTTTCCAACTTCCAGAAGCTACCTGCATTCCTTGGCTAGTGGCCCCCTCCCATCTTCACTGCTTCAGTTTTTCTCACACTGCTTTACTCTGACTCTCCTGCCTTCCTCTTTCACATGTAAGAACACTTGCGATTTGCATCAGGCCCACTTCAATATCCAGGATACTGTCCCATCTTGAAGGGGCTTAACTTTAATCACAAAGTGATTATAGTTAAGTCCCTTTTACTATGTAAGGTAACATATTCACAGGGTCTGGGATTAGAATGTGGACATTTTTGGGGTACCATTATTCTGCCTATCATGTGAAGTAACTTTCAAAATGGAAAGACACGCTGAAGAATAAGAGTCAGAGATTTCTGGCAGGCCAAAAATGACAGAACCCAGAAAACGTTGGTACCACCACTCAGATGGGTAAGAGCCAATCATGCTTTTTGTCAGTTAGCAAAAGATTGAGATTCCAAGCAGAGCATGTGACTGCCCTAGTTTGGGTCATGTGTCAACTCATTTGGCAATGAAAGGCAGAGCACGCTGATGAACACTCCCTGCAAGACTGTATCCCACGAGGCCAGTGATGCTCCTCAAGCAGAGGTGGAGAGCTAATCTCAGGAGAAAGGTGTGTGGGTGGTGGGCAGGAAGACAAAACTGAGGCATAAAGGAGGAGTAGGGACAACAACCCCCGCACACAGGCTCAAGTGAGCTGACATGCATGGGAAGAACTCTCATGAGGTTGGCTGCTTATGTTTCTGATCCTGATGATGATGGTGATTCACACCAGCAGAGTGACAAAAAAGTACATAGTATATTTAGAGGATGTTTCCAACATGGAGAAGTGGTAAATATTCAAGGCAATGAATTCTTCAAACACTACCTTGATCATTACACATTCTGTGCATATAATAAATACTCACATATATGCCACAAATATGTGAAATATTATGTATCACTATATGAAAGAAAAAAATGTGACCAGGTAACACTGATACTTTGGAGAAGAAGGCATGTCTTCTTCGTAATATCACAAAACTGTTTTCATGACAAAGACACACAGTTATTCAAATTAGTCTCTGAGTCAGGGCTGTCTCATGGCAGTGAGGACTCTGGTTCCCTTACAGCTAGCAGAAAGGAAATGGGGCTTACTGACCATGGCCTTGAAGAGGCTGACCATGTAGGCCAAATGGAGACATGGACAGCCTGGGCTCGGTCCTGCTCCTTCGCCTTCCAACCTGGAAGTCAGGCTGGCAAGTCACTCTGGCGTGGGTCACTCATGCTTCCAGTGAGGCTCCACCAAGATAGCAAATGCACCAACACCTTACCAAAGCACAGGCCCTGTGTACTGTTGACTTCTTTGTCAGAAGGCTCAGGATGTCACAAAAGGCATGGTTGTGGTGATCGCATATGTGTGCTACCCCGTTTAATGCTACAACCTTCTCTCACCACAGCACTGCTGACTCCCGTTTGCCAAGTCTGATTTTTCTCACTCTATCATGCTATATAGTTTGCTTCTCACATTTATTGTTTGTGTCTCCCACTAGCATGTAAGTGCTTTGCTCTCTGATGTATCCCAAGAACCCACTGCAGTGCCTGGTACTTGTAGGAACTCCCTAAGATTTCTATAAATGAAGAAGAGAATAAAAGAGGGAGAGAGGGAGAAAGGAAAGGAAGGCTTCTATTTAAATGATGGTCTCCTCCTTATTTCTATAGTAATATGACTTTCCTCTGTAAAGCAGATGCATTTTGGAAAATGTGTATAAATAAACTCAGGTGGTTTGAATTTCATTTTCCTAATTGTAATTGCAATCATGGGTTTTTATGTTTAGTGAAAAAGTTTTGGCCCTTGTGCATTACTCCTGAGAATCCCAAAGTATTGGTTTGCGAGGGCTCCCATAAAGAACCATAAACTTTATTGTTTCCTGGTTCAGGAAGCCAAAGTTTGAACTCCAGGTGTTTGTTCATTCTGAGAGCTCTGAGAGAGAATCCGTTCCAGGCCTCTCTTCAGTTTGTGACAGCTCCAGGGGCTCCTCGACTGGTGGCATCTTCACATGGCTGTCTTCTCTCTGTGTTTCTGTATGCAGATTTCCCCCTTCCTAAAAGGACACTGTCATACTGAATTAGGGCTCACTTGAATGACTTTATCTTAAGTTGATTGTATCTGTAAAGACTGTATGTCTAAGTAAGGTCACATTCAGCTACTGTGGGGTAAGACTTCAATGTATCTTTTCAGGGAACATAATCCAACTCATAATACCGAACATTATAACTGTTCATCTCATGAAATTTAATGTCTCTCAAAAGGTGATCTCAGGGCATTTGATCTGCAGGAGAAACTCCCATAGGAAACATTCCAACCAGTGCTCCTTTCACAGCTGGTCACTCCTTCTACCCCATCCAAGGTCCTGGGGCAGGGCGAGGCAGGTGGGACAAGAGGAAGGCTGTCTTGGGAGTAGAAAGAGAAGACCCTTATTCACCCTGCACTCTGTTTGGGAATGAGCTATCCAGCATAGACTATAATAAATAGCTTTAGGAGTGGTAGACTCTAAATATTTTTTCATCCCAGTTATCCTAATCAATTAAACAAAGTTTAGGACAAGCCTTGAAATGTGGGCATTGGTACCTTATGAAACTTACACAGAATTCAAAAATTTACAAGGGCTAAATAAAGTAGGAACTGACATCTAATATTTTCTCCCCATATTCCCATACACTGTCTGGTTCAACCACCTCCAACCCTCGCTCTCGTCCTGGTGGACACATGCCTAATGGTGTGAACAGCTGGTTCTTAGGGGGCGGTGAGGGTAGATATACAGCTTTTGCCAATTTCCATGGTGTAACTACTCCAAATATGGCCAGTTTCAAGCTACCAGTATGGCACAGACACAGAATTTGGAAGAGATGTTAACAATTGGCTATGGCAAGCTGATTTAAGCGAGCTCCTGCACATCACCACCGCCACTTTTGAAATCCTTGTGTTAGTGCAGGGGTTGGCAAACTGCAGCCTAAAGGCCAAATACAGTTTATTCCTGTTTGTGTGATTTGCTAACCAGCCCTGTTGTCTATGGCCTTCTTTGTGCTGTAACAATAAAGCATGTGGCAGGACATATAGAATCTGGCACTCTATGAAAAGCGCTGACTCCTGCTCTACAGGACAAGAGACCAGAGATTGTCAACAGCTTCCAAACGTTCATCCCTGAGTCATTCTGGAGCCTGAAGCACAGTTTCCACCAGATGGCTGCAATGCATGATAGTTAGGTTTTCCACCTCTCACCCAAAAGTCTACTCAATTTTTTGCTGCAAAAATATGTTATGATCATTATTTTTTACTTAGCCCACATTCCCTTGGCAATTTTCCATAGGAAAATCCATTCTAAATTCCAACAAATCAGGGGATTTGGAGCCTCTGGACACCTCCTTGTTCCTTGCCCACAGCCCTTTGCAGAAGTTGCCTCATCAGAGAGGCTCCATGCAGGGGCTCAGGACAGGATCAGAGGTCAGTTGCAGCAAGGGGGCAGGGAGAGATTCTCTCTGCTGATGATGCAGAGGAGACTGTTCAGCACACTCTCATAGTCCTGGTGATTCCTAATCCATAAGAGAATTTTCACATGCACTGGGTAATTGTCACATCAGCTCAACACTGTGAGGAAGGCAGGGTGAGAATTTGTGTGCACATTTTATAGGTGAGAAAATAAGACACAGAGGTATCAAGCAACTGGACCACAGTTGTGCAGCTTTTAAGTGGCAGACTTGCAGGTGTTGTGACTCCTAGTCCAGAGTTCTTTGCACTGCCCCTGAAGTGCTAAAACTCTACTATGCTTTAAGACTCACTGGGGGAGCTTCCTAAAAAGAGAGATTGTACAATCTGAGATTCTTGCTTAACTGTCTTGGGATGTAACTCAGGGATCTAGCTGCCTTAAAAAAAAACTCCCAAGTAATTCTGATACAAGCAGTTCTTTCTTGTCCACCCTTTGAAGAAACACTGCCTCTGCCCACACATTTTGTTAGAAAATGGTGACATGCTTTTCAGGCTGAGAACTATTTCTAGGTGACTGGACATCGGTAGCCCACTGTACTGGCTTTCAGTCTAGTCTTTTACACACACGATAAGAGATGTCCTACTCCAGATGATATGTGTCTGAACCATGGAAACATTCCATTGTGTGGCATACCCACACTCTTCACCCATGATGATTACATCTCCTACAGAGTTGAACAACAAAGCCTCGATTTCCTGCCTCCCCCCAGTGTGGTCGTGAGGGATAGACATGACCAGGAACACGTAGATGTCTTCAAAACCTGAACAAATTACTGAATTTCAAATCTCATTTCACTCATCAGTAAAATGGGGATAATAAAACCTATTTTACAGAGGGTAGATA